ATGTCACGCTCGACGGCGTCACCACGGCCTGCCTGCCTGCCGGCCACTGGGCGCGGCGGGCGACGCGGCCGCGGCCCGCGGCCTTGCGATTTGTAGGGCGCCACGCCGCGCCACGCCGCGCCACGCCACCGCCACACTCCACCGCTCGCGGCTCGAGGCTCTGCGCGCGGCACTCGCGGCGGGAGGGGAGGACGTTTTGCTTTCTCGACTGTCTTCCATGCATGTGGACGAGGTGGCCGAGTGGTTAAGGCGTTGGACTGCTAATCCAATGGGCTCTGCCCGCGTGAGTTCGAATCTCATCCTCGTCGTCCGTTTTTGTGGTGCGACGACGACGTGACAGTGTAGGTGCAAGCACGCCCAGCACGGTAGCCACGCCGAATATTCCCCCTGGCCACTGACACGAAATCCCCCAGCCTCGCGTTATTCACTCTCCTTTTCCTTCGGACCGAATAGCATTTCCATTGTGCCGCCGCGGCGAGCTTTACAGGGATGGCCGGTAGGAACGCGAAGCCGCGACACGGGATTTCACCACGTGATGCAGGACCACTGCTGTTCTTCCCCTTGTCTGTCTGTCTGCCTGTCTGTCCGCGCGCCCCGGTTTCGTCGCTCCTCAACCTGTCTGTCCCAGCATTGAAGGATGTGCGGTATTAAATTTCGTTCCGAGGGACCCGCCGGCAGTCGGTCGGGGTGCTCAAATATTGACATCACTGCCACCGCGCGGCGTATTTCTTTCTCACTTCAACTTCCTGCCGCGCTGCGTTCGTGTCCGTCGTGTTCTGCGGCACTGCCCGCCCGGCGACCCACTGCCGCCCACCTTTCTGCCGGCCAAAGTCAGTTTCGAAATTATTTTTCAAAGTGGGTACAGCATGAAAGGGTGCTAAAGAGTTCTTGTTGACTCGTTTTTTGCCGCCACAGCGTGGGCCAGACCGGCAGAGGTTAGGTAAGGTTAGGTTAGGTTAGGCTTGGCCTGGTCGAGTTAGGTTAGGCTGCAGACAGGTTCCGAGAGTCCCTTTCGCCGCTCTGTCTCTCTCGCACTCGTGGGGCGTTCCCGTATAGGTGCGAGAGAGACAGAGCGACGGGAACGACTCCCGCAGTCAGTCTGCTGGGCTAGGTTAGGGCGACGGGCCTCATTCAAATCGACCGCGCCATTCGGCCATTCCCCATTCATCGCCACCGTAATCGCGATAAAATTGTTTTGCGCTGTCACTCCCTCTCTCACTCACTCTCGGTTCGGCGGCGCCGCGTTCCGAAAACGGCATCGCAGTCGGGCCAGGCCGCCCAGGCAGGCCAGCCATCGTGCGAACGCGAAATAAATCAAAAAGTGTGCGCGTGTCCGCAGTGCTGCCAACCCCGCCGCGCTGACACTTCGCGGCGATGATGTGTTTTTATTTTATTCAGGGGTTTTGCCTGCTGCGCCACATCGGCCCAGCTGGGCGCGCAGGTACACCAACATCACACATTCCCTCACCCCTTGCTTCTCGCACTCACACACACAGCCTGCTACACACACGCACGCGGCGCGTTAACGGCAGGACAGGTAGTCTCTAGTGACCACACACACGCACTAGTGTATGCAGGTACGATCCACCCCCGCATACAAATACACACACTCACACAGAAGCACGCTCGCACACGGAACGGTCTCTGGCCATCGCCTTATGCGGCCGCGATGTCTTCACAGAAGCCCTCCTACGCAGTGAGCTACCTTCTTGCGCTGCCATGGCGGGCAAAGAGTGCGAGAGAGACAGAGCGGCGGACCACTGCTCAGTATCAGGCTGCAGGCAAACGGGGTGCCGTCCCTCTCCAGGGCTTAGAGCGTCCCAGTTCGTCCGGGGGGCATGCGGGCTTCCTCGCTGGCTCGGCAGGCTCGGCCGTGGCTCGGCGGCGTGCTCCAGAACCCTGGCCCTGCGTGCGCGACGCGAGGTCGCGCGAGGTCCAGGGGGTGCGTGTACAAGCGGCGACGCTTTGACATCAGAGCCTCCACGGCCTCGACCGCAAAGCAGCTTAGTCTATCCGGCCGGCCTTGCCGGCTTGCCCCGCCCCGCCCCGCCGGCCGGTCTTCCAGACGCTTAATAACGGCCACATCCTCCAGCAGCAGGCAATTTACGCCTAGTTAAGCTGGCTCGGCCTGCTGGGGCTGCTGGGGCGAGCTAGGCCTGGTTAGCCGGACGGGCTGAGCCGCGCCGTGGGCCGGCCGTGGCTTCGTCGCTCTGTCTCTCTCGCACCCCCACGAGACGCCCCACGAGTGCGACAGAGACAGAGCGACGAAGGGCAGCGGCAGCGAGGCATGGGGTGCACCCCCAGTGGCGCCCAATAAGCAGACAATAAATTCTCGCGACGGCGCCTGAAAGGTGCACGCATTCTCAGTGGACTGATTCCGAACGCAGTGCCCTCTCTCTCTCACTCCCGCGGGACGCCCCGGCGCCCCATGAGTGCGAGGGAGACAGAGCGACGAATCGGCCTGGCGGCGCCGTCCGCACTGCGCATCTAATTTCGCGTTTTCGCGCGCGCTGGGTCCATCAGGCGGTTCTCTGAATGCGAATTAAGTTCGTTAGCCGGATGCCTCTGCAGCGGGCTCGGTCCGAACGTCGCTGTCATCGCCCCGTCTCTCTCGCACGCCTGCGGCGCGCGCCGTGAGTGCGAGAGAGACGGAGCGACGCCGTTGGGATCCCGCCGGCGGTATCACGGTGTCTGTCCGGTCTGCGCGCTGGGCGGCGCAGGGCGGCGCTGGGGTGGCGGTGGCAACGGGGTGCTGAGAGATGAGAAACACCGGGGGAGGGGGGCAGAATGAGCAAGCGAGGCCGCACGGCAGGTTTACGCCAACGGTTTAATCATGGGCCAGAAGGCCGCGCGAGGCGAGGCGAGGCGAAGCGAGGCACCGCAGCGCACCCGCAGTGGGGATCATCGGGGAGCTCAGAGCACCGCGGTGATGCAGTCCCGGTGACAGCCTCATCAGCGCGCACAAAGAACGAACACCCCCACCCCCTTTCCGCGCGCACAATGTAAATATTCATTATTTTTTGTTGTACCTTATTTTCGGTAAAGGCGAGACCGCGAGACTGTCCCGTGCATCCAGGTGGCGAGGCGGCGGCGGCGGCGGCTCCCGGTGGACCTCATCAGGCGCACGCTGCACATCAGCATAATTGAACTACATTTGGAAAATTGGGAAAGGAAAAGCAAGGGGCGTGGCGACACGGCGACACGCTCTTTTTGCTCCACCTTCCCGACAAACACCTTGCCGTCCCCTCCACCGCCCCGGTCGTGTCGTCTCAGCAAGATGAAGCTGCTCTTCGCTCTAAGTGGTGGGTATTGCGAAAAGGGCCTCTTGTTCTGGGTCGCCTGCAGAGTCGAGCGTAGGCAACACGCGCGCAGGCTCGGACTGGCCCCCAAAAGGCCCCAGCGGATAAGACCGCAAAAGGCCCCCGATCATCATTATGATTTTACCCTTCATGACCAACTTTGTGAGGCTACCGCTCCCAAACTAGTTGCGGTCAATAGCCTTCCCGATACAGGGCATGAAAGAGTAGGGTCTTAAGAATACTAGGGCGTCGAGGGAAGCCTTTTACGGCGACTAGATTGGTCACAGTGGCCGCCCAAAGTCAGCAAAATCAGCAAATTTTCGAGATTCAACCACTTTTTGACCAACTTGGTCGAAAAATCGTTGCGGTCAAAGCCAAAATCGTTGTGGTCAACGTCTTCCCGATACAGGGCATGAAAGAGTAGGGTCTTAAGAATACTAGGGCGTCGAGGGAGGCCTTTTACGGCAACTAGATTGGACACAGTGGCCACCCAAAGTCAGCAAAATCAGCAAATTTCCGAGATTCGACCACTTTTTGATCAACTTGGTCGAAAAATCGTTGCGGTCAAAGCCAAAATCGTTGTGGTCAACGTCTTCCCGACACAGGGCATGAAAGAGTAGGGTCTTAAGAATACTAGGACGTCGAGGGAGGCCTTTTACGGCGACTAGATCGAACGCAGTGGCCGCCCAAATTCAGCAAAAACGGCTGCTTTCGGAGATTCAATCACTTTTTGACCAACTTTGTGGAGTTAGTGGCCCTAAACCCGAAGGCCCCGGCAGATTTTTCTGCCTGTCTGCCCTGGCCAGTCCAAGCCTGCACGCGCGGAGAACCCGACGTTCATTTCCAGTGTAAATGCCGCTTGAACTGCGCCTATCACTGTTGCGCTTAAGCGTAATCGCATCTTCCCTTTCCCGAGCAGCAATCCGCGGCGGGCTTGAAAATCCGCGTGCCTCTCCGCGGGGCCACGGAGCAGATAGGCTCCCCCGGCACCCCAGGGGCCCCCTCCAGCCCCCAGCTCCGTGGCCCCCGCCCCCCAGCCCCCCGCGAGACGGCACGGTATCGGCCAGCCAGGCCATGGCCGCCGTGGCGAGGGAGAGCCTGGAAAAGACTGTCCTATAAATTTGTCATCACTAAGTGAGAGGTAAGCTCGCCCCCGGGACCAGCCCACCCTAGGCCACGCCTAGGCCACCAGGCCGGCAACCAAGTGGCGCTATTGGCAGTCCTGGCAGTCCGTTTGCAGACAAGGCGGGGCGGAGTCTCGCCACGCAGCGAGAGGAAGGCCGTTTCGGGACGGCGAATACTCTTAGCCATCTTGGGAAATTCAAAACAGTGTCCTCGGAATAAAGTTTCGGTGGTTCGAGGAGTTGAACCTCCCACCCCTTCAGCTTGTTACGTGTAGCCGTTATTCAACGTGTCACAACGTGTCACAAAATCTAACGTGTGTACCTTTCTTTACCTCATCCCCTCATCTTTCCATTGAGTTCAGCGGCAGCGTCTCAAAAGGCTATACCCCTTGCCTCAGCAACCCTGCAATACTCCACGACCAAGGGGCGCGCGCGGAGTATCTGCAGCGCCGGCAACGGGGCGTTAGCGGCAGAGTGCCTGAGCGCCGGCTAAGTAGGCAACCCATCCGGCATCCATGACGTCACTGTCTTGCGAATAACGTTTAAGCGTGTCGTTGAATTTTTCATAGTCAGCTATTGCTCTACATATGATTTCCGCTTGGTTATGAAGGCCAATTCCTTTTGTGTACAAGTTTGTTGTTGAAAGAAACTGTCAATGGAAACAGTTAAAGAGAATGAAAGGACGATGAACGCGTGAAGTGTAGAACACAGTGTTACTGACTATGTTTTTATGACGTTAGGTGAGTATTATTGAGAGAAATTCTTGTGGTCTTTACTTGAGAGCTGGAGCAGACACTCTTTCTACTAATTAACGACTTGGTGTGGCCTTAGTCAGCGCAAAAGGGGCGTTCACCGCACCACAATAATGTTTTTCGAAAGTCACATTTGATCTTTCATTTTAAAATTCGCCTCCAATCGGAGTTTTGTAGTGTCTGTCAAACGCCGTGGCGTGTTATGTGTTATGACATAACCTTGTGTTGTGACATATTTCGTAATCTTGATTTACCACGCACCTATTAACTCGCTATCCATCTTCTTTTCCGTTTTACAGCTCAATGGATCTTTTCCGTCCTCATCAGACTTCATCCACTGCAACTCAAGGTCTTGAAAACTACTCCTTTACCAATGAGCTAGCTGTATCACTAATGGCGTGAATACTGACAGCTGACATTTGTTTTTGTTTCTCAATTTCAGGTGATACTCCCAGCACATCTCAGGGTCATGAGGAGCCAACAAACCCATCTAGCACCGTGCTATTTCGAGAAATCCACAAGAATGCCTGGCTTCGAAAACTATCATCCGCTGAGAAGCGAGTTGGAGCAGCTCCAAAGGTGGGTAATTAATTCCCGCCTTTGTAGTCCAGTGGTCCTTGGGTAGATTGTATTTTTTTTTTTTTGTCCTTGATAGAAAGGAGACCGTGTATGGGCTGTCTTCTGTGTCCATGACGATATCCATCCTTTCCTGGAGCTGTACATGGAACAAAAAATGGCAGCAGCTCACAAACCCGACTGGTGTGTCTCACTAAGTTCTACTCTTCATGTATCACCTACCATTGTCGCTCACGATCAAGAATATGAGTTCGTTATTACACTTCCTTCTGATGTTGTCAGATTAACTGCTCCATCATGGTAAGTGCCGTTTTCTTTATCTCTATTTTTTCTTGTATTAAAAATTTATGAGATTTTACGTTTGACTCTTCAATTAATTTTTTCTAGGGAAATCATGATGGAGTGGGTTGACACAATTCGTTCCAAACTGAGAGAAATGAGAATACTGTGCCCTCGTGAGAATGTGTATAGTCGTATGCCAGAGCCTCGCTTGCCTCTCCTGCCCACCCGTGATCCAAACTCACCACTTCCACCACCACCACTAGGTCCATCTGCTCTGGTCCCAGGAGTCGAACCAGTACATCTTGAAACAGCAGGCATTTATCGTTTTGGTTTTATTTTAAATTGCTCTTCCTTTAGGTTTAGCTAATTTAAAATCTTACTTTTATTCATTTTAATAAATTTGCACTATCAGATACTATTGGAAGCTCAAGCAGTGCAGCTCCAAGTCAAACTAGCAGTGCAGGGCCTAGTCACAGTGCAACCAGTGCAACTCGGACTGTATCTGATGCAACACCTCAACGGACCATTACTGCAACTCCCTCATCTCTTGTGGCAGTCCAGGGAGATGTCCGAACAAGACATAGGTCAGAAACATTTGACTCTTATGCTAGTAGCAGGGTGCTAGTAGCATTAGATGCTCTTAGTGGTAATGCATTTATCTAACATAATCTCTTTGACTGCCTTCATGTAGGACCAGAAGCTCGTCATTATCTGAAAGTGCAGTCGCACACTCTTCTTCTTCCCCAAGAAGCCCAGGGATCAATGGATCATCCTCTCGTACTCCTTTGTTGGCTGCAGCTATCTCACCAAGAAGCACCCCAAACCGTCACCCGGTGTCACCACTGCCTAGCCGCTCTTCTGCATCTTTCCGAAATCAAGTGACAAATGGAAATGTTGGCGATGCACCCCTGAGTCCCGCTCCTATTCAAGCCTCATCATCTGCAAGTACACCAGCTTCAAGACCTATCAGAAGCCCTGTACCGCAGACTTCTGCTTCTTCGACGCACGCACGAAGCCCTGGGTTAAACAGTTCTGGAAACCATAATGTGACCGTCATAGAGGTGGCTGACACCCATCACACTCCAAATGACATATTTAATTTTAACTTTATCCGAGATGCTCTTCCCCAAACTGATGGTGATGTTGAGCCACTAGAGCAATTCTTCACTCCTCCTATTACACCACGCAGCAGAGCCTCCATTGCCCATCCACCTCAGACAGACCAACTAGCTGCTACAACATCACCTCCATCAAGACTATGGCAGCAAATTACTCAAGTTGTGTCTAACCTGATTGGTCAACCGGCTCAAAGTGAGGTCATCAGAGTTAATCAAGGAATTACTAATATCACTATACCTTCACATCAAGATGGAGCCTCTGAATCTCAGTCTCGTAATATGAATGTTTATGAGCATGTGTACCCTATTGCTGGAAACGACTCAGCTGTGCCAACATCTGCACCAACGTCTACTCCTGCACCTACACCCACCCCTCCTATAACTACCTCTGGGCCAGTGGAGGAAGTTAGAGCTCGACCCTTACAGCCATCTGTCTCTTCAGGCAGACAAGAAGCCTCAGAACACCATCAGAGAAGGAGGCGAACTTCTTCAGGTTCTGAAATTCTCAGTCCAAGGTCTCGCAGTGCCGCAAATGTGACCCGTCATGCTGCTCCCTTAGTTGATACTGAAAGGCGCCTTCATCCTGTTCCACATCCTTTTCGTCAGGTATGTGTCCCATTCCAAACAAGTCTAAGATCTATTTGCCCTGCATCATGAATCATACCTAATTGTATTGTACTTTGCTTTTCTTTAGGAGACACCTGTTGGGGAACAGAGCAGTGGTCTAGCTCAACGAGTCACTCTGAGAGATCAACAAGTACAGCAGTTGCGCAAAGAGAAACTGCATCCTGGTGGTGTAAGACTTCAAGTGCGTCGCAAAGATTGCACCAATTCCATAGCTTTTATTGATGCATTTGGACATGTATGGTATGTTGTTTTTGTTGTATGCTTATTTTCTTCAATATTTGGACCTATTTTAATTTTGCTCTTTATTTCTACCTCTAGGATTGCCGGATGGAAACAGCGAGAACATCCAATGTTATACAATGCCCTGCACATTGGCGATCAGCTTCTTAGTGTTGCGGGACTTTCTGTTGTTACTGCTGCCGATGCCCATCGTTTCATCAGAGCTAGCAATAGTCTTTATGTGAGTTTAGACCAACCTAAAAGTGAAATGCTAAGGTCTATTTTCTCTGTACTACATGTAAGTTTTCTTTTTATTGCAGGTACCATTTATAATCCGAAGAGTGCCATTTGGACATGTCTTCGCATTCCGGAGAGACGCTGAAGGCCAATCCTTAGGAATCAGTTTGGAAGGTGGCACAGCAGAAGTCAAGGAGGTAGCAGCGGACAGCCCTGCTGCTAGAGGCGGTTTGCCTTCACGAGCGCCAACTTGTGATGGTTTGTCTCTCACCCCATGGGTCATCACTGAAATCAATGGGCGACCCCTCAATTTGTTTTTCAAGGATGGCGAAGTTCGAGATAGGTTGAATGCTGTAGGAAAAGAGATATCTGTCTTGGTTCAACCGTTTGACTTGATAAAGCAAATTAAGAAGCAACTGAAGACCATACGTGGTTATAAGCAATTCATTGTTCAGTGACACTTGCATACTAATATTTTCATTCATGTTTCGTGTCAATCATTGTGCAATCTATTCATTCTGAAAAGTGATATTAGGTATTCTTCTACTCCATTATTTGTTTAGTCATAATTGAATTCTTTCATATGTGTGTGAAGCATCTAGGAACTTTTTCTAATTTACCCTCTTGCCAAAGTTCAACTTTTCGGCCTGCTTTAGTGTGTTTAATCACATCCCTATTGGCTTCTGACCCTATTTTCTTTTCTAAATGTTATATAGTCTATGGTGGAGATAGCACATGTGATTAAGTTACCCCCATTCCAGTTGTGTGTAAACTTATTTGTTAATTTCTAAGCTGTTAAGTTTATAAAGATAGGAACATAATTTTATAACTGTACAATCTTTCAGGAGGACGAGTTGGGCTACTAACGTTATCAATTTTTTACTTCTTGACGGAAGGAAAACAACAAATCATAAGGTTTAATTTCACTTAAACCATAAGTGCAGTGCTTCACATCTTCTCTTCTAGGTGGATGCTTATGTTTCATTTGAATCTTTAATTGCACTTCAATCATTGTGGTAAAGAAAGAAAACAAACTCATGTTTTCTGAAATTGCAGTGTTGATTTTAAACAAGGTGAATATGTAGCTGATGCCTGTGGGCCATAACTTTTGAAATTTATATGAACAGCCGTGTAGATATTTTAAAGTATGACTATGAACTGTGTATAATTTTGCTGTATGATGATCATGATGAATGTTGATGCTCTGGAAGGATGGTCAACACTGATAGGTTGATCTTTTCAATAATGGCTAGTCACAGCATAAAGTGCATGAAATAATTGTGATTGATTTATTAATGTAGTTGTGGAGGTTCTGTATGCTAATGAATTTTTCCGTTGGTTAACAAACCCACATAATTTTCTGTTATAAAATTTTGTTTCCAAATTGGTGTTTTGTCATAGTGACAGTGACAACAATAAGCTTGACTGACTTTAAGTTTGTGAAACCAGCTCAATGACATTTTCTCACACATCACATAGCATGTTTTATCTTGAAACGATAATTGTTATCCAATATCATAAATTTTTTGAGTAACGCATTTTTGTGTATCATGGTGGTTTGGTTCCACTTTGACTGGAGCTGCCAATTCCTACTGGAAAATGTAGTCTCTTCAACTTTGCTCAAGTGTGTTGGAAGTCATACATATCACCCCACCTAGCATAATATTGTACTCATACATTCCACAATTGTTCCATACTAACATTACCTTTAACAATAATGTAATCCTGGTTTTGTCTGTTGGAGGTAATTGTGATTTACTAATAATCTCTATGTTAGTTTGGATAGACAAACGCTTTTTTTTTATCATTTTATTTTGAACAGTTTAAGAATTTAAGGTTCTTAGCCCCGTCTTTTTGGGTTCTCTTATAGATTCAATTTCAAAATGCCTGAAGCAATTTTAAATTTGGACTTGCAAAGCCAAATTTCTTTTGACAATGTTGAATGTTGTCAAAAGTTGTGTTATTTTTATATCTTGTCATACTTGTAACTTGAAAGTTCTGAGACACTGGTATCTGTAACCATTTCAAGAACTTGAAGTTACAAAATGTATCAAATTATGTGAAATCTGTGATTTTTACTTGTGTAGATGTTTTGAAGATATTGTGAAAAAATTAACTTAGGGACTGTGCAAGGCTCAAAAGGGACTATAAAATTTGCTATCTTCTAAATTTTTTCCCAAAAGAAAGCAATTTTTTTCTTGATTTAAAAAGAAATAATGCACGACCTGTGTGAGCTTTATTGAGCTCTATGTGACCAATATACACATGATGTAACCCAAAAACAAGCAGTATTCATTGTTATTCTAACAATAAAAAGAAATGATTCACTCTTTTTTTTGTAGAGGAACCGTGTTTGTGATTCTGTATTTGTAAGACATATCTGATAAATGAGCGATGTCTTTGTCCATTTTCAACTAGGCAATAAAGCAAAATATTTTTGTACAGATTTATTCGTTGCGTTTTATTTACTTTGGCTAAGACAGTCAGACGGGAGGGGCTGTGAGCACTGGGCGGCCACTACACTACACAACACAACAGCCTTCGGCTGACTGCTGGCGGGGCGCGGGGCGCTGGGCTCGGTGCCCCCACCCACACCCCCACGGGCCGGCGCCGCGCGCCCCCCGCCGACCACGGACACGGGCTCCGAGCGACGCCACGCCAGACCAGTTGGCAGCGAGTAGCGCCGGCGTCCACCCGAAGGCCGAAGCAACCCTCCAGCGCCTCGCACTCCGCGACGAGCAGCGCGAGCGATAGCGACGTGCCGCACCGCGCACCGCGCACCGCGTCCCCCCAGTGTAGTGGCCGATCCTGGAAGCCGGAAGCAGGGAGCTCGGCGTGCACAGCGCAAAGTGCCGCCTCGCTGCCGCCGGCCCCGCTCCGCGCTCCGCTGCCTCGTCGGGGAATGACGGATACAGACCCAGGACACCCAGTGCGCCATGCAGGTGAGCCCCGAGCGGCCGCGAGCGTCTCCGACGGCCTCCTGGAGCACGCCGACGACGACAGAGGGCGATCCTGGCCCCGGAAGTAACGCAATTACACTCGCAGTGGCTGTCAGTTCGCAGCAGGCTGTTGTTGGAAGAACGCAATTACCCCCACCCGCAGACAAAAAGTTGCCGGAGGAAACAAAGGCTTAAACTGGAGCGACGTCGCTGTTTGGATAGATCCACTGGGGAAGTGAAAGAAAAATGTTGGCGTGCTGTGCTTGCTCGGAGCTGGCTCGTGTTCATCCCGACCGATGCTCCAGTTCTTTGTAGTCATGCCCGCCTGCCTGTCTGCCGGCGGCCAGGCGGCCAAAGCACAACCCGCTGGCACTTTGGATCACGGCTGCCTCCATCTCCGTCTCGTTTCCCTTCGCTTCTTTTACCGCGCGCCGCTTTTCCTTGGAGATTGCTGATACAGCGATGACTGATGGACGCCTCGCGCTGCCACTGCCCACCGGGTGCCCCTCGTTCGTTCCAGCGGGCCGCCTGCCACATTTTCCCATTTTTCTTCATTTCTTTTTATCACCGTAGAGAGTTTTTCTTGGCTGCTTGCTGCTGATTTTCGGTTAGCCGCCACAGGATCCTCTCCCTTCTGGGGCAGAGCGCCTGTGGAGTCGACGATAGGCAGTCCTGTTACGCAGCGGCGTTTGGCGGGCCTGCCTACCCTGGACTCCACAGGCGTTGAGGCGTTCGGCGGGCCTGCCTACCCTGGACTCCACAGGCGTTGAGGCGTTTGGCGGGCCTGCCTACCCTGGACTCCACAGGCGTTGCCGTGTCCAGCGGGGCGGTTTCTGACCTGCCGTCGTTGTGCTTTTACGCGCTGCAAATGTCAACCCCGCCACCCCCGACACGTGTGACGGCCACACGTGGGCGAGGGCGGTCGGCCTGGCAGTGTCTTGCAGTGCCGCCGCGGCGGGTCGACAAAAAAAAGTGTGGCCGGTCATCGATCTATGATTGACTGCTGGCCGGACTCGCCGGGCTGGGAGTGACAGCGTCACTGCAAGGGAAGGCCAGGGTCAAGGCGTGTCTCTCTGTCTCTCTCGCACTCATGGGTGATCCCGCTTCGGTGCGAGAGAGACAGATCGACGGAGTACTGCTGGCCGGGGAATGATTAGCGACTTGTTTCTTTGGTGACACATTGCCCCCGGATTCGTAGCGGCCACTGGCATTGTCTGTCTCTGTCACACTCATGGGGTCCTGGGGGCCACCCCAACGGACGTCCCGCCGTGGTGGCAGCAATGTGTTCCGATGGAGCGAGAGCGCTGCATGACCGGTCGTTTTCTGCCAGTGACGAGGCCGTAAAAAAACGAGGGCGCCAACGTGAACGCGGCGCGGCCACCTTACCGCAGCCACCAGGCATCGGCACCCCGCGCCGCGTAGGACCAGCAGCGCTTCCCAAGCCAAATTAGAGTAGCTTTGTGATTTCAAAGTTGGCTTCCCTTGGAGCTCCGCCCTCTCAGCCCCTCCCGGGAGCCGACACACGCAGGCCACGGGGGGCAGCCTTACAGGCGATGCTTGACGGAGTTTCCAGCCGGTCGGTGGCCGGGCCGGGCCGGGCCGGGGCAAGAAGCAGCCCTTGAGAGCGGCTCTCGCTCCCCCCTCTCTAACTAAGCTTCCCTGCTCTTGCCACACCGCTCATTATCCCCCCTTCAACTCGCCCTGATGGTCGCCCTGATGACCTGCCTGGCTTCACTGGCTTCGTCGCTCATTTAGGCCGCTCCCAATCGAGACAACCTCATAATTGCTGCGGACGGCAGCGCTTACGGTGTGGTGTGCAGCGGCCGGGCTGCAGGCCGACTCTGTCTCTCTCGCACTCACCGCGCGGGGCGGGGCGGGGCGCAAAGCCGACTTTAAACCGCTACGAATAAAAGGGGCAGACTTCTTTCACCGCCGCGGTCGCGGCTCGGCTCGCAAAACAGCTCGACCCCAGCCCCTCCGGTCACGGAGGGGATGAGCCTGCTTGTAAATACCGGAGCAGCGGCCAGGGCAGGGCCGGACAGAGAAGATTATGGAGGGAGAGGTTTTAAAAGCTTTAAACTCCCCGCAGCGTTGGGCAGAAAGAGGGGGGGGGGCGTCGAGAAGACAGGTGGGGCGGACCGGAAGGAAGAAGGGGTAGACGGGGAAGCTGTAGAGATGATGGAACAACAAAATTTCGCCGGCAGGGCCACTGTGTGTTCGCGGCGGTCGAGACTATGCCCACCCCACCAGCAGGCCCACTCCGCGTCGAGAAATGGAAGCCTCCCGCCATCTCATCATGACGAGTGCTGCTCCCCCCTCCCCCTCTCTTTCAACTCTCCTGCAACAGGGATGCGATGTGTCTCTATCCATCCACGTCGTGTCCTGGCCAACCTCGAAGCTCGCATCCCGTTTCTAGGAAAATGCGCTGCTCACGCACACACCGGCACTGCACCCCCGCAGTGAAACACACACACACAATGCAGACACACAAAGCCAGGCATCGAACCATATCCCACGACCGTGTCGTCTGTGTGCCCCGCGGCGATGCAGCGGCCGAACTCATCTGATTGACACTAATAACCATATTGCGATTGGCGATCGCTTCGGCTGGACCACAACTTTGATGGGAACACCCCCACCCCGGCAAGCGAAAGCCGCTGCAGCTTGGCGTCGCCTGGCGGGGTGGGGGTGGGGGTGAGGTTGGGGGTGGGGGTGGGGGTGGGGGAGGGGTTGAATCCGCCGCGGCGGTCCTGTCCTGAGGGATGGTGCGGTTGGCCGAGCCGGCCGACCTGGACGAGGATTGTTGTTTGTCGGCCGTCCGGGAGCGGGATGTGCCTGACGCCGCGCTGTCTCTCTCGCACCCCTACGGGCCGCGCCGTGCGTGCGAGAGAGACAGCGAAGTTCGGCATCGGCCTCGGCAGGCCGCCTCATTCCCGGCCAACAAGTTCATAATGGAGTTGCTCGCGGTCTCTCTCCAGGTTCGCCAGGCTCTCCAGATTCCAGGCTCTCCAGGTTCTCCAGGAGGAAGGTGGATACATTACGTAACCCTGCCTCCACAATCAGACCGATGTTGGCGTTGGCGCGACCGCCGCGCGAACGGGGCGGGCTGCCCGAACATCCCCGCCAACAACAAGATCCCCAACAACAAACACCCCTGCCGACAACAACAAAAGTGGTCCTTCCCTTCCGCTCAACCAGTCACGACGCGGAGAACCCGCGCGCGTGTCCGGGGCTGGGCTGGTTGATTCTGAACAGCCCTCTCGCTCTGTCTCCCTCGCACTGACGGGGCGCCCCGTGCGGGTGCGAGCGAGACGGCGCGACACTACACTGGGAGGGGTGGGAACCCGCGGCCCGCCAACAGGTGTGCGCCCCGCTGCGTGCTGCAGTGTCCCACCGCGAGGACGGCGCCTGGACAGCCCGGCTGGAGCGCCCCGTGAGTGCGACAGAGACGCCCAGTGGGACGGAAGACCGGCGCAGGCGGACAAAACTCCAGAGGCGCTTTGAGCTCCAGAGTCGCTAAATGGGACTCGAATCGAACGTGTGACCCCACCAATGGATTGCTCTTCGAACGAGGAATCCATTGGTGGGGTCACACGTTCGGTTCGAGTCCTGTTAAGCGACTCTGGAGCTCAAAACGCGTCTGGAGTTTTGGCCGCCTCCACCGGTCTTCTGGCCCACTGTGCGACGGAGGGCTCATCCACGCCGCTTAGCCGCTTGGCGGTGTAGGGAATCTATCTGGGCATTAGCATGAATGTGCAAATGGAGCCGGGAATAAAGTCGGCATGGCGGTCACGGTGGAATGGCGGTATGCAGTATGTATGAGGCGGCGGCCGGGCCGTTTTACAGTGTCACCGTAACGACTACACTGGCCCTACACTGGGAGGGGCGGGGCGACGCGACGGACTCGCCGCCCGGGCTGGCCGGAGTGGCGCGGCGCGTGCGGGGTGGAGCTGTCAAAAAAAAAAAAAAAAAAAAGGTCACAGCTTGCGTCGTCTACTGATGACGACGGACTCTGAAGGGCTCGGATATAAATAAACAGCAAGCGAACTTTAAACAGAGAGCGTTTAGCGACTCTGGAGCTCAAAACGCGTCTGGAGTTTCCGCCTCCACCGGTCTTCTGGCCCACTGTGAACCGCCCTGATGAAGGGGAGGGCGTGCGTGGCTGCGTGGCGCTTGATTTCCCTGCGGAACGAATACTCGCCGTATGCAGTGTGGTGGGGGGAGGGGGTGGGCGCACTGGATGATAGTTTGCTGCCAACAAAGTTGCTTCAAAAACAAATCAAAACCCAAGACTTTTTTTTAATGGGAGAAATAATCAACAATGAAACAGTTTCGTAGTTCTAAAAATGAAGTGCCTTGTTGTTTTTTGTCCATTTCCGGCGCGCGTTCGTGCGACTGCGACTCTGCGGCCGCCCCAAAGTCCAGGGCACTGTTAATCCTGACGAGGAGGACACCCTCATGGAGTGGCACCCTTATCATGCGCCGCGGCGAACCGTCCCGGCAAAGCCTTG